ATTGGGTAATTACACTAGAGGATTTCAACTTTCCAAATATAAATTGGGATAGTCATAGTGTTAGGGGTTTAGAGGAGGTGAATTCTGTGAAATGCATCCAGGGAAGTTTTTTATATCAATATGTAGAAGGCCCAACTAGGGACGGCAGAATGTTGAATCTGATTCTGGGGAAATGAAGCCTGACAAGTGTTTGCAATGTTAGCAATAGCAACCAAAACATGCTACAATTCAAATTTGTTCTGGACAAGGAGAAAGAAGGCCTACCATAAAACAGCTTTGGATTGGGGAAGGCAGATAAAATAAAGCAAGATCTGTCCAAAGTTGACTTGGAACCTGCAGGTAAGTCTACAGTGGAGCAGTGGTGGGAGGGGGGGCATTCAAAAGGGACCTGGGGAGAGTACAGGTCCAACATGTACCCTTTAGAGGGAAACATAAGTGCAATAAGTTCAGGAAACCCTGGATATCTAGGACAATTCAGGACTGGATAAGAGGAAGAAGGCTGGAGGAAGAAGAGAAAGGCTTTTAGTAAGTCCAAAGGGAGCAATTCAGCTGCAGCCCTAGAAGAATGTAGGAATTGTAAGAGGGAACTTAAGAAAGCAATTAAAAGAGCAAAAAGAGGGTATGAGAAAGGACTTGTGACCAGGATTAGGGAGAATCTAAGGTATTTTATAAATACATTAAAGGGAAGAGGTTAACCAGGGAAAGAGTAGGGTCCATTAAGGACCAAGGGGACAGTCTGTGTGTGAAGTTGCAGGATTTTGGAAGGGTGTTAAATGAATACATCTCTTCGGTCTTCACTCTTGGAAAGGAGAACAAAGGTACAGAATTCAGGAAAACATACCGAGAGAAGCTTGCACATTTTGACAAAAGAAATGAAGAGGCACCAGAGGCTCTGTCAGGCTTAAAAACAAACAAATCCCTGCTGCTAGGGGAGGCAAGGCAGGAAAGTGCAGGGGTTCTGACACAAATTTTTAATTCCTCTTGACATGGGGGAAGTGCCAGTTGACTGGAGAATGGCCAATGTGGTTCCAATTTTCAAGAAAGTTGGTATAGATGAACCAGGAAATTATAGACTGGTGAGTATCACATCAGTGGTAGGGAAACTATTGGAGAAAATTCTGAAGGACAGAAGTAATGTCCACTTAGAAAGGCGTGGGTTAATTAGGGATGGTCAGCTTGGCTTTGTCAGAGGGAAGTTGTTAGAATTTTTAGAAAATGTGATCAAGTGTGTGGATGAGGGACGTTCAGCTAATGTTGGCAATGTACCAGAATGTACCACATGGGAGACTGATTGAGAAGGTTAAAGCATGTAGAATTGAGGAAAACTTTGCGAGATGGATGAGAAGCTGGCTTAGTAATAGGACACAAAGGGTAGTGGTAGAATTCTGTCCAAGTGACTGGAGGCTGGTGGCCAGCAGTGTACCACAAGGACCAGTGCTGGGATCCTTATTGTTTGCTATATAGATGAAAATATGGGGGGATTGTGAAGCAAGTTTGCAGAAGACACCAAGATTGGTAGGGTGATTAATAGTGAAGAAGATGGTTGTAGCTTACAGGAAAAGATAGATGCATTGGTCAGATGGACAGAACAGTGACAGATCGTATGTAAGCCTGGTAAGTGCAAGGAGATGCACTTTGGAAGAAGAAACAAGATGAGGGCGTATTTAATGAATGGCAAAACAATGCGTAACTCAGAGGAACAGAGGTATCTGAAGTCAACAGAGCAAGTGAATAGGATAATTAAAAGCATGGCAGGAAGGAGGTAACGTTGGAGTTGTACTGAGCATTGGTTAGGCCACAGCTGAAGAACTGTGTGCAGTTCTGTTCACTTCACTATAGAAAGGATGTGATAGCACTAGAGGGGATTCAATGGAGGTTCACCAGGATGTTGCCTGAGATGGAGTAATTGAGCTATAAGGAAAAACCAGATAGGCTTGCATTGTTTCCTTTAGAGCAAAGAAGACTTGGTGGGGGGGGACATGATTGAGGGGTATAACATTATAAGGGATATGTATAGGGTAAGTAGGGGGCACCTGTTCCCCTTGGTTAAGGGGTCAATCACGAGGAGACATAATTTTAGGGTAAAGGACATGAGATTCGGAGGGGATTTGAGAAAAACCTTTTTGTTCAGTGGGTGGTAGGAATCTGGAATGCACTTTCTAGGAAAGCCTTAAAATTTTTGGATGATTTTGAAATATATTACATTCAAGGATACGGGACAAGTGCAGGAAATTGGGATTTAATGCACCTTTAATGATAGTTATTGTCAGTGCACAGGGCCTTTTCTGCACTGTGTGACTCTATGGCTCCTCAATCCTCTGTTACATTCCAATACAGCTCTCCCTGCTCTTAACCACTGCGCTGTCCCAGTGAAATCCATTGCAAACACAAGGGATATTACCTTCTCTTTCTACCAGGTACTCTACAGCCTTTGGCCTTAATCTTGAGTTAAACAACTTCAGATCATAAGCAATGCTCAGACATAGAAGCTGGTAACAGAGCACTGCTATAGCAGAGCCTGTGGGAGTGGAGGAACTTGTGGATTGATGCCAGGGTTGGAGCTCTCCATATTGGCATATTATATAGCTGAGATCTAACCGTTTTACTCAGGCCATATTCCCAACTAAAATAATCCTGTCTATCCTGTTGGATTTTCCATGCTTTCCTCCCATTGAACTATTCTGCCATTATCATTTATTTCTTCCTCTACGTCCATCTTTCATTTCTCTACCTTCCTGATTAAAATCCTGCTTTGTCTTGTACCAACCTCCCTGTTGTCATTTAATTATCCTGCCCTCCACCTCATCATACACCTCCCTATTGTTCTTCCCAGAGCCCTGCCTTTGCTTATATATTGATCAAACCTGACATCTTTGGATATCTAGGAAGAATGGAGATGAACAGGAAATATTAACAGCGTCTCCACCCATACTGCCTGACCAACTGAGTGATTCCAACATTTTCTGATTTTATTTTAGATTTCCATCATCTGCAATATTTTACATTTGTCAGGACAATATTTCTTTTGTTTAGTCATAACTATATTAAACCCCTCTGTGCAGTTTCAAGTAAATAAAAGCAAGTTCAAGAAAGTTCAAACTTGGCAATCATCAATCATAGACTACTCAAGCCAAGAAACAATTAACCCAACAGAGGCCTCCTCAAGGGAGAAAAAAAATGTATTACCTAACTTTCTGAAGTAAATAACTAAAGATGTTTTTGTGTCAAATTTCTGCTAGCGTGGAATTCAATTTTAAGCAGGAGCAGTGCGGTGGTGATGCGTGGAGTGGGGAGGTGAAGGGAGTGGAGTAGGGAGAGGTAGTTAGCTCACTCTCATGGAAGGCAAGTAAGCTAGCAGCCAACACACAAAAGAGAGAGGTCCACCCTACATGATGCAGGCGTCTAACTGAGGAGAAAGAGATACATTTGCACTTCAGTGGGAGGAAGTCCCACCTTCAGGAACTGCCAGCTAATCTACTTAGCCAGCAGAGATAGCAGAGCTCACATAGCAGAAACGGCTAGGACGGCAGCAGTCCCATGAAGAAGAGAAGATGGGCACTGGAACCAGTTAAGCCCTGGGGAGTAAGATTGGGATGGCATCTATGAGACCAGGGAGGAGGAGAAGAGGGATCAAGGGATTGGGATTTAGAGATCAGGCAGTGAGGAATGTAGGGAGGATGTGGTTGACATCTTGGCAGGGGTATTCTCTGGTGCTCACAGAACAACCCCACCAAATCAGGTACCCTGCTTTCCTTGATGTCATCAAAAAATATACTCGCCACTCCTGCCTACCCACCAACCATGTTATGGCGTTGGCAACGTGTTATTCTGGTGACAAGCACAACTGGCCTTTAATTACTGATTTTAAATGTAACAATTGGGCTGCCAAATGCAGTGCCCTCCCACCTACCAGATTCTTATGGGGGTGAGGGGGCAGGTCCGAAATGGATGGAAGGTGGGATCCTTGGCACCCCTTATATTCTATGCATGGCCACCACCACCAAAACTATGGCAGGCAGAGGGTGTAAAACCCAGCCCATCCTCTGAGAGAGCTAGAAGAGGTATGTGTATTTTGGAAACCCATATATTGATGCGAATTTGTTACACTCAGGTGTAAGGTGGGCATGACTGCTAAAATTTATTTTTGCGTGCTTGAAAATAGGTTGGATTAAATAGAATGCAAATGCTGAGAATCCAAAATGAAAGTATAAAGTGCTGGAAATACGGACCATGTCAGTGTTCTGCTATTAACTGTTCTTTGTTTTTTCTCTTTTACACTACTCATAAGCCTGTGTTCTAATGTTTGCTTTTATTTAAGTAAGTGCAGTTTGGAAACTTTTTGTCCTGTGTCTGCTGTGAAGGTTGAAAATTGATCATCTTTTAGGTGATTTCAATTTTGGAATTAAATTGTTTTCATGGCATCATTTACAATGATGCCCCAAGATAGTACAGATGCAGCAAAATCTGGAAACAAAATTAGGACTCCTCTTTAGAATGCACAGATTGCAATTCACACCTACACAGTCCGAGAACATGATCCTTGTTCTTGGGCTTTTGGGGACGGGGAAACAGTAAACCACCCTGAAGTAGATGTGCTAGTAATTTTGATGTCTTACACAGTGACTGTATTGTCTCAGCTGAATGATGGCAGATCAGTTGCCAACCCTGTCTACATGCATCCTCCAAGAGACTGAACTAGAATAAAGGGGAAATAAATACTTAACTGTTACTTAGAAAACCATCAGGCATATAACCGTTGCTCTCATTTTTAATCAAAATGTTCACATTTGATTTACTCTGAAATCATTTAAAATAACAATTGTCCACCTTACAATTGGTGTACTGTTGTACAACAGCAACTGCAATCTTAACAACCACAATGACCTCACAGCTATTAAACAGTTAGGAAATAAAGAACATCTGGAGACCAGATGTTGGAGCACAACGTGGTTTACTGGAAGCTATATCTACTTGAGACTATTACAGCTCTACCACTTGCTAGAACGCCCTCAAACCCTGAAGTACGACTGTCAACATGCTTTTGACATTTTTTCTTTTCGTTTTACTATGGCATGAGACAGTCACCTGGGGGCTGAAGAATGGAATATTGCACAACTCAATATGGTTAGGTAAGTCGTTCTGTGTTATTTCTCCTATTTTGTTTTAGAAAATATCAAATGAATTTCCTCATGGAGGAAGATATTTATTATGCCTGCTGCTGTAAGGCTGGAGGAAGATTGTTGTTTCGTTTGGTGCTGTAAAACTGGGTTCTAATTTCCTAACATGAACCTTTTGGCTCATTTGTTGCTGCTGTTCAAACTTTTGAGAATCTGAAACTGGCAAATCATTTCATGTTTCAAAATCCTGTCATCTACCAAAATATATGTGCCTCTTATTGGGGTGCAAACTACTATCTTTTAAGTGATCAACTCATTTTAAATGACTCATTGATTGTCTGAAAGATTAATTTAATTTTTAAAGTTTATGTCAGAAATTCACATCCATTGCATGCAAATAAATAGATTGAGATTGGTAAAATCATACTGTCGTGAAGTTGAAAATTGATCATCTTTCAGGTGATTTCAGTTTGGAATTGAATTGTTTCCATGGCATCATTTACAATGAGGCCCCGAAATAGTACAAATGCAGCAAAGTCTGCAAACAAAATTTACCAAAGCGTGAATAGAGGCTAAAGAGCTGATCTCAACAGCAATAGTAGGAACTGCCGATGCTGGAGAATCTGAGATAACAAGGTGTAGAATTTTCTGAAGAAGGGTCTCGACCTGAAACGTCAGCTTTCCTGCTCCTCTGAGGCTGCTTGGCCTGATCTCAACAGCACTTTGGCTCAGGGAACGTTGAAAGAAAAAGTGTTCCCATTCCTTATTTAAAATGGTTATAGGTATATATGAGCAAGAAATACTTTGAAAATTAGTTGATACATTGGCCAAAGGCCCCTTTGAATATTGTAAGATCTTAAAATCTCCAAATGTCTTAGCTAAAAAGTGTGCATTGATGAATATTGAGAAAGGATGGTGTCTGTGCTTTCTGTGATCCTTATCACTGCCAAACAGCTGTCACACTCACTTTTAGGTTCATACAAAGAATAGCATTGCAGCCAATAAGTAATAAGCCCTTGGTTCATAGAATGGTTAGATTACGCAAAGAGGCCACTGTGTGTCTGCCTGCAAGAGCAGTTTAATTTGTCCCATTCCCCAACTTTTCACCACATCCCTGCAACCTTTCCCTCTTTAGGTGCTTATTTCATTCCCTTTTGAAAGTCAAAACTGAATCTGCCTTCACCACACTCTCAGGCAAGTATTCAAGATCCTAACTACTTAGTGCATAAAATAAGATTACCTCAAGTCTTTGCCATTAGTTTTTTTTGCTCAAAAAGCTCACATTTTGTAGTCAGTCAATGTGGCATTTTATGAATTCCTGCTTTGGAAATAAAACCAGTCTGACTCCACAGCCAGATTCTAAACAAGGCCTCACATCTAAAATGTATTGTCTAACCTGGGATGTCACCTCTAGTATTCTGGAGGAACGGATGATACAGATGGCACAAAGGTTAGTGGAATTTGCAGATGACACAAAGGTTGGTAGAATTGCGGATGGCGATGAGGACCGTCAGAGGATACAGCAGGATATAGATCGGTTGGTGACTTGAGCAGTGAGATTGCAGATGGAGTTTAATCCGGAAAAATGTGAGGTAATGCATTTTGGAAGGTCCAATCCAGATGGAAAATATACAGTCAATGGCAGAATCCTTAAGAGTACTGATATGCAGAAGGATCTGAGTGTACAGGTACACAGACCACAGAAAGTGGCGATGCAGGTGGAGAAGGTAGTCAACAAGACATATGGCATGCTTGCCTTCATTGGCTGGGGCATTGAGTTTAAAAATTGGCAGGTAATGTTGCGGCTTTATAGAACCTTAGTTAGGCTGCATTTGAAATATTATGTTCAATCCTGGTCACCACACTACCAGAACACCTACGCTCGGTTCGCAATAAACAACTGCACCTCCCAGTCGCGAACCATTTCAACTCCCCCTCCCACTCCTCAGACGACATGTCCATCCTGGGCCTCCTGCAATGCCACAATGATGCCACCCGAAGGTTGCAGGAACAGCAACTCATATTCCGCTTGGGAACCCTGCAGCCCAATGGTATCAATGTGGATTTCACAAGTTTCAAAATCTCCCCTCCCCCTACTGCATCCCAAAACCAGTCCAGCTCGTCCCTGCCTCCCTAACCTGTTCTTCCTCCCACCTATCCCCTCCTCCCACCTCAAGCCGCACCTCCATCTCCTACCGACCAAACTCATCCCGCCCCCTTGACCTGTCCGTCCTCCCTGGACTGACCTATCCCCTTCCTAAGTCCCCACCTACACTCACCTTTACTGGCCCCATCCCCGCCTCTTCGACCTGTTTGTTTCCTCTCCACCTATCCTCTCCTCTATCCATCTTCTATCCGCCTCCCACTCTCTCCCTATTTATTTCAGAACCCCCTTCCCCTCCCCCTTTTCTGATGCCTGAAACGTCAGCCTCTCTGCTCCTATGATGCTGCTTGGCCTGCTGTGTTCATCCAGCCCTGCACCTTGTTGTCTCGGATTCTCCAGCATCTGCAGTTCCTACTATCTCTGATACCAGAAGGATGTGGTGGCTTTGGAGAAGGTACAGAAAAGTTTTACCAGGATGTTGCCTGGTATGGAGGGCATTAACTATGTGGAGAGGTTGGAGAAACTTGCGTTGTTCTCACTGGAACGACGGATGTTGAGGGGTGACCTGATAGACGTCTACAACATTATGAAGGGCATGGACAGACTGGACAGTCAGAAGCTTTTTCCCAGGGTTCATAGAGGGCATTGTTTTAAGGTGTGAGGGGCAAGATTTAAAGGTGATGTATGAGACAGGTTTTTTACACAGAGGGTGGTGGGTACCTGGAATTCGCTGCCGGGGGAGGTACTGGAAGCAGATACGATAGTGACTTTTAAAGGGCATCTTGACAAATACAAGAATAAGATGGGAATAGAGGGATATGGTCCCCAGAAGGGTAGGGGGTTTTAGTTGTGACAGGCAGCATGTCGATACAGGCTTGGAGGGCTGAAGGGCCTATGTCTGTGCTGTAATTTTCTTTGTTCTTCGTTCTTTGATAAAACCTTTAGTCATCTCAAGGCAATGACTTGAAAGAAATTCTGGAATTTGTATATTAATCCTTTCTAACTGATTTAAGATTTAACAACCATCTTAGGTTTGTTCAATGCATTCACATCAGTCCTACAACCCTTTGATCTTTTGCTTATAAATTCTGTGTCTGATGCCATCTCTCTCACTGACACCTGAAGAAGGAGCGAGACTCCGAAAACTTGTGTCTTCAAATAAACCTGTTGGATTATAACCTGGTGTCATGTGAATTTTGGCTTTTTTGGGGGAATCACCTTAAGCCCATCTCCTCTGGTTTTCAACTCTTTACCAACACTTTCTCCCTATTGACTGTCTAGAACCTTCAAAATTTGCGCACCTTTATCTAATCTCCTTTCAGCCTTCTATCCTCAGGAAATAACCACAGCTTCTCCAGTCTATCCACTCAGTTGAGATCCTCCCTGAGACCATTTTTGCGTATTTTTTTGGCACCTTCTCCAAATGATGAATGGCACTCAGAATTGGACACAACACTCCAGATGAGATTTAACGAGAGTTTTATGAAGATTCCTTATAACTTCTTTTCATTTGTATTCTATGGCCATATTTACGAAGTTCTGGATCCTGTATGCTGTTTTAACAACTTTCGAAAGCTGCCCTATTACCTGTACTGATTTGTACGCATATATCTCCAGGTTCCTGCACTCCTTTGGAACTGTACTCTTTATGATAGAAGGTCAGTTCCTCAGTTGGTGTGGTGCAGATTAATGTGATGGCATGAGTTTAATCCCTCACACTGTCTGAGGTACTTCCCCACCTTACCCCGTGGTATCATCATAGCCCATAAAAGGCATAATGAGCAATGCTTGGTAGACTGTCCGTGAAGGATGAAAGCAGAGAAGGTCCCTGTACCAGTCTTGCACTGCAGTTGCCAAGCCACATAGATACTTTGGATCCTCCTTGAATCTGGCATTATGTGAAATCAGCCAAGGAAGAGAAAATAACAACTTACTATTCCTTCAATCTAATCCTGAGGGTAGGGTTAGCTGTAAAAGTTTGACCTTTGAAATCACACATAGTTTCGGCATAATCAGTAAAGAGTCTATCACCACTACTTTCATTTATTTTAAATTCCACTTCCTCACTCTTCTCACCAAAATGCATCACTTCCCATTTCTCCAAGCTAAATGTCATCTGGCATTCATTCCATCAGCCTGTATGTATTCTCTTGAACTCTATCGCTGTTTTCACAGTACTTCGAAGTTTTGTGTTGTGTTCTGCACATGAGGAGCAAAAAATGAAAAAGATTGCTCTTCAGAATCAAATTGACAAAGATATTAGTAAAGAAAAACCAAATAGATACAAAACTGTTTTAATGCAATCACACATCCGGATTTTCACATCTGCACACACATGCACCCCACTCTCTTTCTTGTGTTGTAAAATAATTATCTCATTAGAACAGGAGTGGTGGAGGGCAGAGTGGAAAGAGTGATCATAATTTGCTCAGTCACCTTTTACTCTATTATTTGTGAATTCCAATTCATTAATATTGAATTTATGCTGTAAGAAACAATATACTGCAGCTTGACTTTATGATTTTAACTGTCTTTAAAGTTTCATATTTGGTTCATTTGACTAAAGCTTTTAGACCATAAGATATAGTTGCAAAATTAGGTCATTTGGCCCATCACATTTGCCCCACATTTCAATCATGGCCGATATGTTTCAGCAACTTCATTCTCTTGCCTTTCACTTTAACTTTTGATCTCATTATTAAAAAAGAACTTATCCATCTCTATCTTAAATACTCTCAATTACTTGGCCTCCACAGCCTTCTGTGGCAGTGAGTTCCACAGATTCATAACCCTTTGGCTGAGGAAATTCCTCCTCGTCTCAGATCTAAAGGGTTGTCCCTTTACTCTGAGACTGTGCCCTCAGGTCCTGGTCTCTCTTACCAATGGAAACATCTTCTCCATGACAACTCTATCCAGGCCTCTCAGTATTCTATAAGTTTCAATGAAATACCCCCTCATCCTTCTAAACTCCATCAAGTACAGACCCAAAGTCCTCAACCACCTCTCATATGACAAGCCCTTCATCCCTGGGATCACTCTTGAAAACCTCCTCTGGTTCCCTCCAATGCCAGCGCATCCTTCTTTAGATACAGAGCCCAAAACTGCTCAAAATATTCTAAATGTGGTCTGACCAAAGTCTTATACAGTCTCAGCAGTATCTGCTTTAGTATTCTTGTCCTCTTGAAATGAATGTTAATGTTGCATTTGCCTTCCTAACATCCAATTAAGAGAATCCTGAGGTAGGACTCTTAAGTCCCTTTGCGTTTCAGATTTAAGAAGTCTTTCTCAATTTAGAAAATTGTCCACACGTCTATTCTTCCTACCAAAGTACTTAACCTCACATTTTACCATAATGTATTCCATCTACCACTTCTTTGCTCAGTCTCCTCGCCTGGCCTCAACACTACCTTCCTCTCCATATATCTTTGTGTCACCTGCAAATTTAGCAACAATGCCTTCACTTGCTTCATCTAGATCATTCATATGTAGTGTGAATCATAGTTTTCCCAACACTGACTGCTGCAAAACTCCTCTAGTCACCAGTGGCTATCCTGAAAAAGACCCCTTTATCCCCACTGTCTGTCTTCTGCCAGTCAACCAATCCTTTATCCAATCCAGTATCTTGCTCCTAAAATCATGGGGTCTTATTTTATTTAGCAGCATCCAGTGTGGCGCCTTATCAAAGGCCTTCTGGAAATCCAAATAGATCACGTCCACTGGCGCTCCTCTACCGAAATTCTTGTTATCTCTTCAAAGAATTCTGACAGATTTGTCAGGCATGACCTCCCCTTGATGAAGCCATGCTGTCTCAACCCTATTTTACTACTCACTTCCAAGCACTCCACAATCTCATCCTTAATAATGGATTGTAAGATCTCACAAATGACTGAGGTCAGGCTAATCAGTCTATAATTTCCTGTCTCCTGCCTCCCTGCTTGCTTAAACAGGGGTGCAACATTAGTTATTTTCCAGTCCTCTGGGACCATCCCTGACTCCAGTTTTTTCCTACAAGATCACCATCAATGCTTCCACAATCTCCTCAGCTATCTCCTTCAGAACTCTAGGGTGTAGTCTATCCGGTTCAGGTGATTTATCCACCTTCAGACCTTTCAGCTTCCCCAGCACCTTCTCCTCAGTGATGGCCACTACACTCACCTCTGCGCCCTGACTCTTTTGAAGTTCTGCTATGCTACTGCTGTATTTCACAATGAACACTGACGCAAAGTATCTATTCACTGCACCCGCCATTCTATCGTTTGCCATTACTTTCTCCAGCCTCATTTTCTAGCTGTCCAATGTCAACTCTTGCCTCTCTCTTTCTTATTACATGTCTAAAAATAGCTTTTGCAATCTTCTCTTATGTTATTAACTGGCTTACCCTCATACTTCATCTTCACCCCCTCCCCCATTATTGTTTTTTTTATTGTTCTCTGCTGGTTTTTTAAAGGCTTCCCAATCCTTTGGTTCCCACTAATCTTCACCACATTGTATGTTTTGTTTTTTACTTTTATGCTGTCCATGACTTCCTTTGCCAGCCACACTTGCTTTGTCTTCCCCTGGATGTGTTTCTTCTTCCTTGGGATGAATTTCTGCTGTGCCTCCCAAATAAACCCCAAAATTCCCTGCCATTGCTGCTCCACCATCTTCTAGGCTCCCCTTCCAATCAGTTCTGGCCAGCTCCTCCCTCATGTATTTGTCGTTACCTTTACTCAATTGCAATATGTCTGATTCAAGCTTCTCCCTCCCAGACTGCAGGCTGAATCTGTTATATTATTGTCACTGCATCTAGGGGTTCCTCCACCTCCAGCCACCTAATCAAGTCTGCCTCATTAAACATCACAAAATCCAGAATTGCCTGTTCTATAGTGCTCTATAACAAGCTGCTCCAAAAGACTTCTTTCACAGCTCTGACTCTACATCATTTCTTGCTATTGATCTAATTTCATTTCTTACTAACGAGGCAACCCTGCAGCCCTGCCCATCTGCCTGTCATTTCAATTGAAAGCATATCCTTGAATATTTAGTTCTCAGTCCTGATGCCTTGCAGTCACATGTCTGAGATACCCACAACATCGTACCAGTCAATTTCAATCTGTGCTACAAGCTCATTTACCTTGTTTCGTATACTGCATACATTTAAGTACAACATCTTCAGACCTGTGTTGACTGCCCCCTTTCTCATAGTTGTCCCCTTATCTGCTCTGCCTGAAGTTCTCCTGAGATTCTCCATACCCTCTGTCCTATTACTTGTTGTGGAAACTGCAATAACCTCTGCTGAGTCTTCCACTCTTTAAGTATTTCCATAATTTTCCATTTAACTGAACCTAATACCACCCATCCCTGCCATGATTTACAATCCTATCCATAGCCCTAGTTATGTAATTTGCCAGGACTCTGGTCCAAGCATGATTCAGGTAGAGCCCATCCCATTGAAACAGCTTCCTCTGTCCCCAATACTTGTGCCATTGCCCATGAATTTGAACCATTTCTCCCACATCAATCTTTGAGCCACACATTTATCTCTGTAATTTTGTTAACCCTGTGCAAATTAGCTCGTGGCTCAAATAGTAATCTGGAGATTATTATCTTTATAGTTCTGCTTCTTAATTTAGCCCCTGGCTTCTTATATTACCACAAGAAGAACCTCTTTCCTCTTTCTACCTTATATCGTTGGTACCAATGTGAAACATAACAACTAGATCTTTCCTTTCTTGCTCCAAGTTTCTCTGCAGCCCAAATGAGATATCATTACCCGAGCACCAGATAGGCAACACAGCCTTCAAGACTCTCAATCCTGGCCACAGAGAACAGTGTCTATTCCTCTGACTATACTATCCCCAATTACAACATCATTTCTGTTTCTCCTCCCTTTTGATGGCTCACTGTACTGTGGTGCTTATGTCGGTTTGCTCATCCTCCCTAAAGTCCCCACTCTCATCCGCACAGGGAGGAAGAATCTCAAATCTGTTAGACAAACTCAAGGGCTGAGATTCTTTCAGCACTACCTCGTGGATCACTCTATCTGCCTCGCTTGTACTCACACCTCCTGAGCCTGACCAATGACTGAACATGAGGTGGTTAATCTAAGGGGTGTGACTGCCTCCCTGAAACACAACTTCCAGGTAACTCTCCTCCTCCTGGATGTGTTGCAATGTCTGAAGCTCAGACTTCAGCTCATGAACTCTGAGCTAAAGTTCCTCAAGCAACCAACACTTGCTATAGATGCGGCTACTATGAACCACGATGAGGTCCACCAGCTCCCATATCATGCACGTACAATGCGTAGCCTGACCCTGCATCTCTGTTATTTAATTAGTGCTTAATTTGATTTTCAAAAATTTCCCACTTGTGTTTTAGTTTGTAACCTGTAAATATCTCCCTTATTTATCTTCAATCTGAAAGTAACCACCAATAGATAGCCAAATTAGCAGCCATTACCAAACAATGACTTTACAGTTTTCCTGTGATGTCATTCTTTCTTCTGTGCTGGACCCCAATCCCAGGCTTCAATTTAACCAGTAACAAGACCTGACAAGCTACGAACTGAAGAAGCAAACAAAAGCACTTCTTCCCTTCTGCACCAAATTCCCACACTGCCTCCAAATTCAAACTAAATATTCCCTCAGGCCGCGTCTCACTCCAGATATGATCTCTCCTTCCTGACTGTGTGCAGCCTACTAGTCATGCATATTTAATATACCCTTTCTTAAATAGAGCTGAACTGAGCTGAGATGACTCACACTATTTAAGTTTCAATAATAACTAACACCTATTGGGGCCCCATTCAGCCTTCAAGTGATTGATTCATAACTGTTCCTCAGTCAGCTGAATCAGCTACCTTATCAACCTTTTAACTAAACTACTGAATTTTAATCTTTTAAAATGGAGAAATATTTAGCAGTTCTATTCCTATGGTGCCCCCAAGTTCCCCAAACTGTGTATTCACTCAGGATGTGAACTGTTCTTCCCGACCATAGGCAACTTATTCCTTCATATTAAGATTCACCTTGGTAATGAAACATTCTGAGCATCTTTATTGTATGGGAACATGAACATATTCAAAAGTATGTTTTCTTTTGTGTTATGACTCAAGTTTTTCCAGACCACTCCCCTTGCAATGAAGGATGATTTGGTCTCCAAATTCTGAGTTTCCACCATTCCCAAGGAATTTAAAAACATTTGTTTCAGAAATTTAAGTGTGTCACACAGTAAACACAGCCACAGCCTTTGATACCCTTCACTACTTTATCTCTAATGTTATGAGTCACATCTTCTCATATTGCAATATCTAATTTAATAGATGCATAGCTCCGCAGTTTTTAGCTTAAATTTGTCTTGTATTTCTGGTTTTCATTCATATTTCAAGCTACTTATTCAAACAGTAAAAATACTTGCTGCTTCATTTCCACAGAATGAATAAAAATGACAGAAGTAGGAAACAAAAAAAATTCTTGTTTTTTTTTGTAAACTGGAAGCTAAACTGAAAGGTTTGACTTATCAATGCTTAAAAAGTAGATTGTATTGGAATGTTTCAAAACTGACGTACTGTTTTGTCATGTAATTACAGAACAAGCAGCTGGTGTTTATCACAGAGAATCACGCAAAGGAAAATACCAGCTCACCTTGAAAGAAGCTAAAGTGGTCTGTAAATATGAAGGAGGCACCCTTGCAACATATAACCAGTTAGAGTTAGCTCAGCGTATAGGTAGGAAAGTGTTTGTGCATTTACCATTTTGGATAAAATATTACTAATTTAAATATGCAATTGGCACAGTGATATTAATTGCACAATGACAGTCAGCAGTGATTTTTATTGATGTGACATCATCTTTTTTCTTTGAAAGGACAGAACTGAAGAACTTCACTGTGGAAATAACACCTGATTCCTATTGCATAAATTGTGGTAGTGATGATAAAGGCATGCATCATTAACACAAGCTACTTTTTTCATCAAATTCCTGGCATTAGTCTTTCCTAGGAAAATAAAAGAACAACTTTCCATGGTTGCAACACAATAGATTGGTTCTGAGGTTGAAAGCAGCTCACTGTCATTGGACAAACCATTTCATATTAAAACCAAGTTTTAAACTGAAACAGTATCTGTTTTGTAGTTAAAAATTAGTCCAATGTCAAGAGAAACTTTCTAATGAAGAATCATTGATCTGAAATGTTAACTTTATTTCAGTCCAGAGATGCTGCCTGACCTGCTGAGGATATTCTTTTTGTTCTTATTCTAAGAGAAATTTTATGACCTAAAATTATTTTTAAGATGTTAAACAATACATCCAAGCTAATTCAGTAAACAAGTTTAAACAGCTTACTTTTACTTGTTTGTTTATTTTTTATTTTTCCTCATTCTGTTTCCTAATTGTTATCCTGGCATTGTACTCCTGACAAATCTGTTATTTTAAAACTATCATAGTATATATTTAAATACTCATCTCCTGTTTCATTGGACTCTCAAATGATGTCTCTCAAGACATCATAAAATAGCAATCCAAATGGCTGAAAGCCGCATCAGTCTTTTCTGCCAGTCTTAATTCAGACCTTCAAACGTTTAAGTTGTTGTGTTTTAGGCAAAACCAAACCAATCTTTGAAGTAAATTTTGTAGAAGTGACATAAGCACATTGCTATTGCACAATGTTTCTCATCCTTTCAACTGGCAGTCTGACTGTGTGCTCAGTCATCAGTACCTCAGAATCTCAGAAGTGTTACAATGCAGAAGGAAGCCATTCATTCTGTCATGTCACTAGCTCTCCATCAAATATTATGACCAAATGTTTGATTGGGCAGCACATTGGCTCAGTGGTTAGCACTGCTGCCTCACGGTGCCAGGGAACCAGGTTTGATTACAGCATCAGGTGACTGTGTGTGGAGTTTGCACATTCTCCCCATGTCTGCGTGGGTTTGCTTTGGTTTCCTCCCGCAGTCTAAGGATGTGCAGGCTAGGTGGATTGGCCATGCTGAATTGTCCATAGTGTGCAGGCTAGGTGGATTAGGCATGGGAAATGCAAGTATAAGGTAAAGGGATGGGTCTGGGTGTGATGCTCTTCAGAGGGATAGTGTGGTCTCGATGAGCTGAATGGCCTGCTTCCACTCTGTTGGGATTCTATATGAGTATCATTTGCCTGCCTTTTCCGGATACGTTTTCACGTTGTTTCATTCAAATAATCATCCAATGAATGCCCAAATTGAATCTGCCTCCCTCAGACTTCCAGGCAGTGCATTACAGACTTGAACATTGTGTGAAAAAGTTTTCTGTCAACTCACATTTGCCAGATTTGTGTATCACTTCAAATCTGTGCCAGCTTATTCCCAATCCTTTTACAAGCAGGAGCAGTTCTTCCCTGTCTACTCCATCCACACCTCTCACCTTTTTGAAAGCTTTGCTCAGATCTCCTCTTAGCCTTCTTGTCTCCAAAGAGAATTTTCCAAATCTCTCCAATCTATCCTCATAACTGAAGTTCCTCATTCCTGGAATTACTTCCATAAATTGTTACTACATTCTCTCCAATGTGTTAACATCCTTTTATTAGTATGGTTTCCACAATTGTACACAACACGCTAGCTGAGGTCCAACAAGTGTCTTGTGTCATGTCTATTTAACCTCTAAATTAGCCTAATATAGCTAAATTATACATCCAAACCCATATATTAAAGAATTTTAAACAAATAATTTTACTCGTATAAAAGTAAAATACTGCAGATGCTGGGAATCCGAAACAAACAGAGAGTGCTGGCGAAACTTAGCAGATCCAGCAGCATCTGTGAAAAGAAAAATAGAGTTAACAGTTTCTGAATTCTGAAGGAGTATTATACTGGATGCGAAACATTAATTCTGTTTCTCTTTCCACAGATGCGGCCAGACCTACTGAGTTTCTCCAACATTCTTTGCTTTTGTTACTTTAACTTGTACTCTATGCCCTTATTTATAAAGCCTATGATACCGTATGCTCTATTAATTACTCTGTCTACCTATTCTGCTACCTCCCGTGGCCTATGTGCATAAAGACCCAGTCGTCTCTGCTCCTGCACCCCTTAAATATTGTGGCCTCTTTCTTATATTTTATATTTTATATTGTCTGTCCTTTCTACCAAAATACATCACCTCACACTTATGACTTAATTGGTAAATTTGCAACTCCAAATTAACATTACACACAATAATTTGCGACTTTATGGAAGGTATGGATTATACTCATGGATAAAAGTCAGTGGACTGAAAGACAATGTTTAAAATATGGAGAAGCAGGTAAACTGATCTGATGCCTCATGGTAGTCTGCAATAAATAAACAGATTTAAGGCTCAATTATTTAATAAAAGGGAAGGTACAGTTTTTTCATACTTTTGGCGGACTCTAATTATGCACCTCATTAGCAAGTGTTAGGAACACTTTGTTCTGCCTGATACTGAAAGGCTCTGTGTAATTGGCACAGATTTCCTTGCCAGGCTATGTTTGCTCCCCCACACAAAGGATACGGCTGCAATTGTAGGGAGAAGCAGTGAGCATTTCTTTTCAGCACAAGATGTAACCTATGAGGTCAGGCAGGCGACCATCTGCTTCCCATGTTTTGAAGGTTAGAGAGCTGAAGGCTTGTGTCAGTAGATTCACTGACACAGCTGCATTCAACGTCCACCAGATAGCCTACAGATACCACGATGGAATAATTCCAGTGTAGTTTTACAGCAGTTTCTTTATATTGGCAAAAAAAAAGCTTTCGAAAAACTATAACAACTCTCCTGTAAAAACAGAGAAGGATTTCCTTGTGACCCAGTCACATTTTTATTTGTTTGTTTAGAAATTGTTTTTGTAACAAGTAGGACTTATATGTAAATAGTTAGATTTCTAACTATCGAGAGTGGAGGGTTGATTTTTTTTTATAAAATAACAATGCGCTGACTAATAGGGACATGAAATAAATCTAACAGCAATTGTGAAATAAAGCTATATCAGGCAATGTCATACTTTATATAAGTACATTATAATGCATTATACAAGTATTCTCATTTAACGTACCCTGTTCAGCCACTGTGAATGCATAACGCTATTCATCACTTTGATATTAATGATTCTATGATTTTACATTTCACTTTCACTATAAAGTCTATTACACTAGTGGTGATGAATTGCAACAATTCTTTCACAAAAACTGCATGCATTTACACAGCCTTTTCAATATAGCAAAATTTTAAATGTTCCAAATGTCACAGAAGTGTTATCAAATGGAACTCGGCACTGAGCCACATAAAATGATATCGGGACAGATGACCAAAGCCTTGGTCAAAGAATTGGGATTTAACAGTGTTAAGGGAACATCTTAAAAGAGGAAGAAGACGTAGAAAGTTCGAGGGCAGGAATTCCAGAGCTTAACCTTGGCACTGAAAGATTGTTGCGAATAGTATAACAATTAAATTTAGGAGTGCTGAAAAGGCCAAAACTGGAGAAGCAGAGATGTCTCAGAGATATCTCATGGGGGTTGTAAGGTTGGGGGAATTATTGAGATGGGGTAGTTTGGTTGGGGGTGGAATGGATGAATGTGGAGATGGAGAGGTTGCAAGGCCATGACCCCAAAGGGATTTGAAAACAAGGATGAGAACTGAAGATGTTGCCTGATTGGGGATCTATGAAGTTTACGAACATGAAGCTGATGGCCGGAATGGGTGTTTCTGTGAGTTAAGACACAGACAGTCAAGTTTTGGATGATATAACATTTACTGAGAATGTGGAATTCAACTAGGTATGTGTCAGAATATGTAAGACTAAAAGTACCAAGGACATGAACACAGATTTTCGCAACAGGCATGCTGTGCTGAGGCAATCTCAGTGATGTTAGTTCACCTTAGGGTCAAATAGATGATGACGATACCATGGTATCATTTGATGTTACTGCCCTATTCACATCGATAGACATACCACTAGCAAGAGAAACACTGACACTATTAAAACAAGAACAAGACCCCAGTGACACCATCTCCACAGACAACATGCTGAAATTACTGGACCTATGCCTCATGACCCACTTCACCTTTGACAGTCAAATATATGAACAGATTCATGGGCACCCATGGGGTCACCTATCTCTGGACTAATAGCTGAAGCGGTGATGTAGAGACTTGAAAGCATGGCTCTTCCGCTAATCCAACTGAAACTACGGATCCAATACGTGGACGACACCTTCGTCATTATTAAATGGACCAAACTGGAGGAAACACATGAACTAATAAACAACACTGTCACCAGGATCAAATTCACCAGGAAAGCGGAAAAGAACAAATAGCTCCCATTCCTGGACGTCATGGTGGAATGCAGGACAAATGGAAATTCCTAACAAAGGTACACAGGAAAGCCGCACACACTGACCAAGCACTGAATTTCAACAGCAACCATCCTAACACACACACACACAAATGAAGTTGCGTGAGAACACTATTTAAATGGGCAACAACACACTGCAGCAGCACAGAGCTACACCAGAAAGAAGAAGAGTACCTCTTCCAAGTATTCAAAGACAATGGATACCCGAGAAACTGGGTCAGATGATGCCTATTACACAAACAACAGGAAGATACTGTACACCCTAACACAGTCATCACGCTACCCTACATCAAGTACACATCTGAACTGACCACAAGACTCCTGTGACCACTGGGCATCAGAGTAGCACACAAACCCACATCAATCCTACGCCAACTGCTAACCTGA